AAAAATCTTAAGTCTTTTACTTGTTAATAGAAACCACATCTCTCATTTCGTTTATTACGCTACTTCTAAAGATTAATTTTTAATCCCTTAATACGTTAATATATTTCCACCTATTAAAAATTAAATCTAAATAATTATATAGACACTGGTGTGCCTGAAGTCATATGCTAACTTTAGTCAACATCAATAATAAGATTTCTAGTATCTAATCCCAAGTTAATGCAAATTAGTTTTCCTTTGAGTATTGCTTTCTATAATAAAATATGCATTAACTACTCCTTTCATAATTAAAATCTATTTTAATATTTCTTTGGAGTCGAGAGGTTGAAGTTTACTATTAAATTTACTTGTTGACACAAGTAATGAATTTTATTTTTTATATATGGCCTAAATTCTAAAAGTACCTATGGTCACAAGACAGTGTCTCGGGAATTATCGTATTAAAAAGTTCATAAAATGTAAAATTAAAATTTTCTTTTAGAAGAAAAATCTTCGCTTCTTTTAATAAAATTACAGTTATGCTTGGATGATGTGCATGTGCAGCGCACATATGTTAAGATCAGTGGCTGATGAGCCGAGGCTCGTTCTACGAACGCAACAAGTAGCCACTGAAGAGATAAGCAAATAATCACAACTTACAGCAGAAATCATAAAAGCCATGAAAGCAGTTAGCTTACAGATACTTTTCAAAGTGGCAATAAGCACCAAAGATGCCTTAACTGCGATAAGAGCAACAACTGTGCTGCAATTGACGGCAACGCCAACACCACAAATTGCATGCAACATTTGCTCTATGGCGTATCTATTACACATGTACGATGTGTACACTTGTTTGTGTTTAGTTCTTTGACGATATTTTGAATTTGCTGGCAGTTTCATTACAAGGAAACATGATAGAAGCTAAGAAGAAACCGCAATTGGTGTCTGCGTCTAGTTTTGTGTTTGAATAGACGTGCTTTCCTTAGTTTTCTTAGTAGAGTTTCTTCATGAGCGCATCAAAGAAGTTCGTCTTACTTTGGAATTATGTTAGAAGTATTGTTAGAATCTATTGGATGTATTACATATGAACCATATCAATTTGATATTTCACAATACAAAAGCCGATTGACAAAATGATCGTTTTAGTAAAAATACAAGTACTACACACAATTTTGTTATGCGCTTTTTGTGTATGTTATAAGCATATCTTGGGCTGCGAAACATATTCCTTTTGTAATTTTATTGTACTTAGGTAATAAGTAGATAGCTTATCTAATGAATATTCGTTTTTTCAATAGAATGGTCTTGTATTCCAATAAAATACCCATGTGTTCAAATGAAATATTCGTGTGTTGCAATGTCATACCTGTGTATTCCAATGCAATACTTATATATTCCAATAGAATACCCAACTTAGAGTATCCACTAGAATACATGAGCATACAATTGAAATACATGAGTATTCCATAAGAACACATGAGGTGGTATACATTGAAATACATAGAATACATTGAATAAAAGACTTTTCTATAAAATGCATGAGTATTTCATTAGAATACATGAGTATTCTATTACAATGCATGAGTATTTCATTAGAATACATGAGTATTCTATTACAATGCATGAGTATTTCATTAGAATACATGAGTATTCTATTACAATGCATGAGTATTTCATTAGAATACATGAGTATTCTATTACAATGCATGAGTATTTCATTAGAGTAATTAAAGAGAGTATTAAAGAGTATTAAATTAGAATATATGAGTATTTTATTGGAATACATGAGTATTTCATTGGAATACGTGAGTATTTCATTGGAATACGTGAGTATTTCATTGGAATACGTGAGTATTTCATTGGAATACGTGAATATTTCATTGGAATACGTGAATATTTCATTGGAATACGTGAGTATTTCATTGGAATACGTGGAATATATGAGTATTAAATTGGAATATATGAGTATTTTATTGGAAGATATGTCTTCCGTTGGATACTATAAATTGGGTAATAATAAAACCCTATAAATAAAACAAAATTATTATGAAATATTTATTTAAGAAATACATTCATAAGTTTTAAATGTATTTTAAAGCAATTTAATGATATAAAACAAAAATAAATTCAAAGGTGGAGATCTACTTTCTGTTTGATGAAGAGGTTTTTCAACACCCTAGGTCTTGAAGCCAGTGCGATTGCCTTGATTAGAGACGTTTTTTCGGTTACACACGTACATATTATAAGAAATTGTTATGGATTCAAATTATTTTTAAATATATGTGCGATCATTGATAAACGATTGATGGTTATACAATCACTTTAAACCTGGAGCACATCATGAAACCAATGGAAATTTATTAATAAACAGCAAGGGTAGGAAGACGAGATATTTTGTCAGAGTAGCAAGATTACCCTAAAATGAACAGTAATTTATTTATTTTTTAGAAAATTATAAATTTATAAATGTTATTTAATAACATTTATATAAAAATATTTTAATACTCTAAAAAATTTGATTGGCAACAAAATTTGATAGATCGACAGTAAGTCTAGATTAAATCCATTAGGAATTCTACTGATGAAGACAAAAGCTAATTTGCCCAAATTCGTATAGAAATATACTAACAATAACGTTCAAAATAAAAGTTAAAGTTCTCAAAAAACCAAAACGATTTTACTTTTAATAGTTTGAAGTAACTCACAAATAAAAAAAAAACAATAATATATAGATTAAATCAAGATTTCCCAATCGAAACCACAATTAATATAATTTTATTATTAGGTAATGTTTGTTCAAATCTATATGGATATGTTTTCATTTAAACACCATTTATGAATTATATTATGCAAGTGGCCATAATAAATGTTTATGTTCAGTCCACATTCTCACACCTTAACGATATCAAACATACTTTTATCTTAACAAATTATTTGATACAAAAAATATCACAATTAGAGAAAAAATTAACTAAGGATTTATCAGTTTCCGGTACTTCCTGAAGATTCCAATTTTTCGTGCTTTTTATAGACTGGAATGGGTCATACTTGTTTAAAAATTAAGAACGTTGGAATATCAGTGACACCTGAAAAAGAGTCATGAATATTGTTTTATTTATAGGTGTGTGGGTGAACTTTTCTTAGACGTCTTATAGTTTTTACGACTTTATGCTGCAGTTATATATGTTAGATAAAACAATTATTAATTAAAGAAAACAGTCGATGATTTCATTACAGTCGATGAATCAATCATTAAAAGTATTTGTTACAATAGAAGAACCAAATTACACTTGAGCTACTTATGTTAAGTCATAAACTACTACTTTAAACCGTTTAATATAAAGCAAACCTTTGTCATGACACGGTATCAAAAGTAATTCGAAAGTTCAAGGAACATAAGTTATATCAAATTAACTTTTGTTAGTTTTCATAAACACACAAAATCCATTAGAAAACTTAGACTCTAATCCGCTTGACTCGCTCCAACCACTTCGTTCAAGCATTAATAGAAGAAGCTGAGTTTCAATTAATAATTTATACAAAAAAAAAAAAAATAGAAAAAATAGAATAAAAATTCAAGACAAAGCACGAAAAGTGCACAGAACTTCTTAAGTTTTAATTCTTTTTACACACTAAAAGCACTTAAACAAAGAGAAAAAAAAATCAATTCTTAAAACCTGAACTGGTTTCTGAAATTTTAAATTCAAAATATTAAATTTATTATCAGAAAACGTATAAAATTAAAGTAAATCAGCACTAACAGCAATAACAGTGGCAATAGCAGAAGCCCCAGCAGCAACAGCAGCAGAAGCAGCAACACTGTTAGCTGCAGAAAATGGTAGCAGAGCAGTAGAGCAGCAGAGCAGCAGAACAGTACAGTACACAGTGTACAATACATAATACACAGATTTTAATAGATAATTCGAGTTTGTGTCTTAAAATACTTGATGCACACCTGTGTTTTGTTCTTGTTGTTGTTGTTGCTGCCGTCTTGTAAGTGGTGGTTGTTTACAATAACAAAATATGTATAAGTATGTACGAGTATTTGTCGTATCTTATTGTTAGTGTTAAAATTATGGGTTAAGCCAACAAACGTTTGATGCTAAGTTCAAATCGGTTTTGTGTAAGACAGTAGCACTTCCCCATATTCATTATAGGCTGAGTTCAGTTCTTGTAATTAACATGGAAACAGGTTCTCTTCTCTTCCAACAAAGTAGACAGTGTAAAATTAACGTGTCTGTTAAACAAAATTAAAATTTATTTGTGTTCATTTGTTTGCCTCTGGAGAACTTTATTATTAGTTAATACCAGTAGTCGAATTAATGGCTGTACCCGTAGCAGTAAATTTCAAAAAAATGAGTTCAGCATTGAGACGACGAATCTAATATATTATAATGTGGACGTATACATTAGGTTTCAAATTTAATACAATTAAACGGATGGAGTATTATGCCAAATAATTAATTATTTAATAAATTGAATATGATTAGCTTTAATAGTTACATATATTGTTATTGACTCTTTTAAATTGCAGTTGATATATGTTTTTAATATCTCCAGATTGTAAGTAAACTTATTCGCGCTCTAATAAAACCTGGGCTTAAGTAGAACACATGTTAAGTGTGGTTTAAAATAATTAAATCCTCAATATCCTTAACTATTAATCAAGTTACAAAGAGAAAATGCTAATATATTTAAGAGGACCTTATATTTTGAAATAAAACTCAAAAAAACATTAGTAATATCAAGTTTTATTTTAATAAATTCATACATATTTAAAAGAAACCCTATTCGACACTTCAGAAAAATACACTAGTCTTTAATAGATCA